GTGCGAATTGTGCAGAAGGCCACCCTAAGGCTCGGAAAGGTCCTATAGGAATCCATTTTGGGCTTCCTCATGTCGGTTTCATCCTTCTAAGTGTTAGAAGTCGATACCGCACACGCGAAACTCCAAAAGAGGACGGAAATAGGTCGAACTAAAACAAGACGGGCACCACTTCTAAGGTTCTAAGATAGTCGCAGGAAGACCCCTAAGGCTAGATCCTAACTCCTACGAGAAATACTAGACCTCACGAAAATTGAGGTCAACAATATCCTTCATGGTAAGCTTTGAATATATCTTTTGGGGTTTCTCCTTGACCACATGATAGTTTATTCCCATTTAGGGTTTGACCAAGTTGAAAGTTTTGGATCTAATATTGATCTATAGTTAGGTATAGGTGGAGATTGTAAAGATGTTTTTTGGTGTAAAAGAAAGGTTTGGTTTTATAGATTCAGGGTTAAGAATTTTAGTTCGAGCAGAAAAAATTATTTGGTTTAAAGACTGATACTAATTTAGGGTTCCTAGACAGTGTGTAGGGATCAATAAAGGAGTTGGGGTATTGCATGATGAAGAAAATGGGAAAATTATGAGAAAGGAAATTGTTTGCAAGGGGAAAAAGGAGCGGCTATGGCTTTCTATGAAAAAGCAATAAAGATGGGAGGGCCTGCGGCCAGGGCAATGAGGTACGAATGTTGGAAGGTTCCACCACCTGTTCTTTTCAAGTTATAATTTCATCTTTTTAAGAAGAAAATGTGATAGCTCTCCGAATAGAACAAAATAAAGAAAATACTCTACTAATAAAATAAATCAAAGCACAAAATATGTTTTCAAATAGGTTAAATTAGAATGCTTATACTAAGACAGATTAAACCCTAATTTTAACTAATAAAACCTATATTTGGGGTCCACAAGGGCATACATTGGTCATAAGTGGGAAAAGATCATTATAAGATCCCTTGGGTGGAATTCCAGCTCTGTTGTTCGAATCCCACCTTCCACACGGGAACAGTGCTCTGCGTCGAGAAGGCGTGAAAATATGGGTACAAGCACAGCGTACATAACTGACATGTCAATAATAATAGAAAACATGGCTACAACAGGAAATTTGGACAAGGAAAATTTGCAATGTATCGTTAAAAAGGGTGTAACTAGTTTATGGAAGTGTTCTGCATCAAGAAGGCTTGAAATAATATGGGTAAAGCAAAGCCTAAATAAATGTAATGTCAATAACATTATAAGAAACATGGTTACTAGGAATAGTGCTATGCATCATGAAGGACGAAAATTATGGGTACAAGTCATGCCTAAATAAATGGCATATCAATAACAATAGAAATACATGGCTACTACAAGATACGTGTACAGGGAAAATTAGCAATGTATCATCAAAAAGGGTGTAACTAGTTCATGGAGCTTTCACCAATGCACATTTTGGAAGGGGTTGATCTGTGTAGCCTTAACATTATATTTGCAGAGAGAATTTTTCTATGATTTTAACCTACTTCCATAACACAGTAGATACAATTTAACCTGGTCTATGCCTGCCCTCTAGTGAAGTCCCATCACATACTAAGAAATATATATTGTAACCCTGCTAAGTGTAATCTTGTTGGGCTATTGGGCTTGTGTGATAACATTGTCTGCTTTAGTGTGTATTAGAACCTTTATTTGCTTCATTTCTTCAGTGTACATATTGGTACACTCTATGACAACTATTATTTGATAATGTTTTGCCTAGAAAATGAAGTCTGACATAAACTTAATAGTTTCATGTATAATATTTTGTGTACAAGTAGCGTACTAGCTGACTGATAAATATGGCTAAAATAGAATTTTCCCAGGGAGAAATGGAGCCATAGCACTGTTGAACTATTACAACTAGTGCTGCTATATATGATTCCATTTAATCATGCCTTTTCTAATAATGTGATCCATGAAATTTACAAAATTACACGCTCCTTTTACTCTTTTCAAGGTCATTATTATTCCAGTCATTGGTTTAATCTTTAAAGTTGAATAAGTTCTCTATATACAGTAGTTGAAATATTTCCAAAATGAATTTAATTGGGTATTAACGTTGATAATTTTTATTTATATTTTTCATAATGATGAACTCAATTATTTAGAATAATACTAATAATGATGATGTGCTAATATATTTTTTATTTGTATTTTACAGTCTCATTTATATGTCGGCCGAGGGATGCAAGAAGCCCAAGTATCCCTTCTAAAGTAATTATATTATTTGTTAACTTGGAGTATTTTTATTAGTTTGAGTCCACTGACTTCCACCAACACTCATTACTTTCAGGTACACCATATTCTGGGTGATTTTATTGTCATGCAAATTATTGTTTAGCTACCATTTTCAGGTGATTAAACCATTCTTAAATATTTTGGTTCAAATTTATGAACCGTTATTTTTATTTTATTTTTCTCGAGTTTTGGCGGTTACGAATCATTTTGAATAGCTTATCCAAGTAACCTTATGTTTGTTGTTTGTTGTTTATCCTCTGTCCTCGTTAAGTTTTCAATTATTTGTCCCTTACAATTCCACTTTTTCTTGATATCCTAACATACTAACATAATTTTTTCGATCTGTGTAGATAAAACCTCTTATTGAACCAACAAAGCATATTATGAAAGTTAGTATAAATACTTATGATTGGCATGAGTTTTTCCCAGAAGGTATTTCTTGTTTTATGCATAATATGTTTTATTATGTCATGGGTAACTTCCTAATTATTAATTTCTGTCCATTTCAGTTCAAAACAATGCTGGTGCAATTCTTGCTGTTTGGGCCCCAATACTTCTTGTGAGATAGCTTAAAAGTTGAATGAACTTCTGAATATTGAGAATTTGCTTGCTTATTTATTTGAACATACTAACTTTCGTTCTATCATCTGTTTTTGATGCAGGTCTATGTTATGGACACACAGATTTGGTATTCTATTTTCTGTGCAATATTTGGAGGAGTCTGTGGTATTGTCCGTCATCTTGGTGAGGTTAGGTTTAAGATCTCTGTTACCTTGTTAAACTGCTTGCCAACAGTGTGCATGGAGCAATAGTCAGGTTAGAATTTCATACATTATGCCAGATTCGAACGGCTGGAATGGTCAGGAGCCGTTTTTATTCATTCCCATCCATGTTCAATGGTTCCTTTGTCGCTCATCCATCACAAAAGAAAAAGGGGAGCATCTTCAAAGATATCCTGAAGAACAAAGTTTGCAAGGTATTTAAAGCTTCCCCTTTCATATCAAATAGCTCAATAAACTTTGTAAGTGTTATCTAATTCATACTGAATTTAATAGCCCATGATGTTTAGAGTACAGAAGCTGAGAGAGACGAGCTTCCGAAGTTTGCTCATGTTTGGAATCAGATTATTGCTAATTTCAGATCTGAGGACTTGATTAGTAACAGGTAAAATTCTATATATTTGTTATCAGCTATATCATCTACCATCATAGAGTCTCTTTAGTGTTATTATTTTTTGTAGAGAGATGGACATGATGATCATGCCACTTTCATCCAAGTTTGGTGGGACCTCAGCACGATGGCCCTTATTTCTTTTAGCCATGAAGGTAATTTTATTCCTTTAATATCCTTGGATTAGCATTTCATTATCTCGTTCACAGCTTCTGTTTGCTTGCCAGTTTTCTTCTGCTGTGAACATGGCGAGAGATTATGTTGGGAAGCACGAGAAGCTTTCTAGAAAAATTAAAAAAGACAAGTACATGTTCTATGCCATCAAGGAGTGCTATGATACCTTAAAGAATGTCTTCAATTTTCTTGTCGTTGGAGACCTAGACAAAAGGTAGTCATTTTTTAAATTTTATGCAGAAAAGTAGCAGCAATAATTAGTTTCTTTCTTGCAATAATCTGCAATGTATATTTTTGAACATTATTTTAAACTTTCTTATCTTTTCCAGGGTCTTACGTGCACTTTTTGATGACATTGAAACAAGCATTAGAAATTCCAGCACCCCAATTGATTTCAAGCTGGCTGAGTTGCCTGTTTTGATTGAGAAAGTTATCAAAATGGTAGAGATACTGGTAACTGTAGTAAGATAACAGTTCAATTTACATCTTTTTACACTGTGTCTATTTTCCCGCTTTTTCACAGCAAACTTCTGATTATATCTTTTGATATATATGAATGAAGTTTGAAAATAACCAAACTCGTCTAGATGCACTGATCATTTCATTCCAAGGTTTCCTTGAATTTATCATCAATGATATGATGGTTGAAGGTGGCAGGTAGGTGCGGTTTCTTTTTGGTTCCGAAATAATTTTTTTTCCTCTTTCTGAAGTGTTAAAAGAAGTGATTTAGGATACTGGATATTATTGATTCATCCTACGGGCAAGAGAGGGGTGGGGATGTTTCCCTCATGCAACATGTATCACACATGTTTAAATCAGATTCTAGGGGGTTTATTGTTCCTTTCTCCCAGTCAGATGAAGGAACTAGAAACTCTGTTCTACGTTTCCCACTGCCAGATAAAGGACCTTTAAAAGACCAGGTGCCTAAGTTATCTTCAAATTTTTTTTTCATCTTTTCTAGAAAGGTGTACAATCCTAGAATGCTCATTAGATGAATAGCAGATCAAACGTTTATTTCTGATGCTTACTGTCAAAGAAGCTGCTTTAGATATTCCCGCCAACTTAGAGGTCCGAAGACGCATCTCTTTCTTTGCAACTTCTCTTTTCATGGATATGCCTCCTGCTCCTAAAGTTCGCAACATGTTGTCTCTCAGGTGACCCTGCCTTTAATTTTTTCATAAAAATTAACAGTTACCATATTGATTATTATCTCTATATTAGAGTGTTAGAGCATATATCTTTTGCAACCGTATAACAAATCTTGCCATTCTCATCTTAAATAAAATGAAAATTTATGCCAAAGTTTATTAATGCATTGCTTAAAACAGGGTCCTTTCATTCTTTTGTGCATTTATTATTGCTATGATTTATAGTAAAAATTATTGTCTGGTGCATAGCTAGGTGTCTTTCTGAAGAAATTTGGCGAATGATAATTTTATATTATATACTATGTATACTAATGGTCATATATATATATATATATATATATATATAT